ATGTGTAAAAGTAATAGAGCAGAAGTTGCATTCAGGTCCAAGTAATTATACAGTCTCCGAACGCCATGAGAGGAAGTCATTCAGTGAGCCGGTCAACACAAAAAACTCCTCAAGGCTAATGTTCTCCACGCTGTTTRGAAACCAAACAAGCACACAGAATAGCATACACGCTGGAAAATATTTTCACAAGAGTGTGGTGGAACACGAGCACATTGGCAGTTCAAAAAACAAAAAAGATCACAAAAAATGTGTAAAAAATAAAACAAATAAATAATAATAAAAGAGTCAAAAGGAGGTTTTGGAACAAATGTGTCTTTGTGGGAAAATTGTGTTCAGTTGCGCAGATGCTGTGCAACTGAAAGGGTGCTATTGTCAAGAAATACCTGGCTTTATGTACTTCCTCGTTATGTTTCTTCATTTACACTCCACCAGCAGCACCACCCCCTCCCTCACACTCTTCCCCGTCGCCAGTGGACTGTCACTGGGATGAAATCACACCTGTGCTTCTCACACATCTCAGCACACGGGTGAAACATACGCAGGGTGAAACATGGTGAGGGAGCTTTGCTGAATCTCATTAGCCAAGCAGGTAGTCATTAACAGAATGACCTTTGGAAATAATTACCAGCCTTTCTCCCTCCATCCCTCTTTCTCTGTCGCCCCCCCCCTCCCTCCCTTCCTATTTCTCTTTTAACACTCATCCATTCCTCTGTCCCTCCCATCTCCCGCTCATGTTCAATAGTTCCGTCTCAGTGAGGACAGAGGGAGAGAGAAGAAAAGGAAAGAAAAGAAGAGTTTCAGTTCGCCCGTGCTGCTGCTGTTTAAGATTACAAGGTGAGCTGAACTTTCAGATTAGGTTAATCTTCTGGAAATGGGATTGGTCAGAGGTCTTTCTCTGGCAGGTAGGCAAGCAGGCAGGTCACTTCAGTAGCAAGAGCCATGTGCCACCGCATGTGATACCTGAGCCAAAGAGAAGACAATGTGTGCTTCTGCCTGAGGTCATCACAGTGCTGTTAGCTCTGCAGGGCTCAAACCAATTGTCACCATGTATGTTTACACGAAGGCCCCATGTGTAGTACAGCCAAGCTTACACAGGTCAAACACACTGCGTGTAAAAAATGAGAATAATAGCTCTAACTGGATTTGAAGCGTTCCTTCACTCAGGTTATTTTTCAGGAAGTGAAGGGATGTTTCTTTCTACTACCAGAATAACTAACCCTTTGGTTGTTTCACAAACCTGCATTCTTTGTTTCAGCAGCGGGGAGAACAAGCGCATTGTGGAGCAGAGATTTGGCAAAACCCAAGTGTGTTGTTGGATTTGGGGCCTTTCAATCACAGCGTGAGCCAGCCAACGCTGCTTAGGTTTGGGCTAGAGCTGCAATCATTGGGAGGGAAAAGAAAGGACTCTTTCATGTGCTATTGCAATTACCAACCCCCATACTGGAATAATAAATCACCAATAACGACTGAAAGTGATTGTTCTTAGGCATGAATAAAATGAGACAAAAAAGAGAGAGAGAGCGAGAGAGAGATGAATCCATTCTCTGGTCTCTTCCCAACACAGCTCTCTAATGCTGTTCACATGTCCAGGAAACTAGCCTGGCAAACAGTGAGTATAGGAAATCTATCTGCATGTTTGACTGTTTTATCTCCAGCCAGCCTCAGTGTGCTGTGGACCTGCCAGGATGACACACTTGGACCTTCCATGGACATCCAGCGATAAAGGATCTGCCTCTGTGTTTGCTTTTATCAAGCTACGAGAGCCCAGATGAGCTTAGATATCTCTTTGAACACTTGTCACTAATTAAGAGGACCTCCCCTCTTGTTTTTACAAAAGAGGAAAACAGTGTGCATTGCATTATTTATTATGCAGTCAAAGGTGGAGGATCAGTAAAATGGGATGCACTGTTAAACATGGAATAAAATCAAATGCAAGCATTAAAAAGCAAATCAACCTTTTACTTTGTATTTGCTGCTATATGTGTGACCTCTCCATTACTTTTTATTAACTGCCTCTCTTTTGTTTTGCTTTCACATACATTAGTAAAAAAAAAACACAGATGGTTTTAAAGTGAGTCACAAAGTATGAATTTTATTACTAATTTTGATGTTTTTTTTTACCTCCCTGCTTGGCTTTCACGCACACACAATATGACCTATGCACATAATATTTAAGATACTGAAATTGAAATTAACAGTGATCACTTTGGGTCAGTGAAAAACTGGACACAAAAGACAGTAAAAGAAAAGAGGAGGTAGAGAGATCAGCCCCCAAGCCTCTTGTAAACACACTGTTGCTAGAGAGGCAGTGCAACGTTCTCAGTGCCACTCTCTCAACAACGCTAATTATCAACCAAAGACATGCTAATTACATAGAGCTTTATTGCTAATGTAGCAGGTCTCTATGCCAGCCGCCCACACGCCTTCCCCTACCTCTGCGTCTCCTCCCACTACAACTTCAGGCACAGTAGTTTTACAGGGAGAATGATGCATGCAACTCAGTGTAAAGAAGACAAGAGCTCATGCAAATTTTGATGTGAGATGATACATATGAGATGTCACCTTTGGGATCGTTTTGCTTCTCCATGGATGAACTCGGTCCTAAAAATCCAGGTTTTCATTCCATTCTTGAACTCCTCCTCATCACTGTGACAACTCAACAGGAAGTCTGCTTTGCTCCTTCCTCCCTGCAAGTTCAACAACCCACCCACGTTCCTGCCACCATGAYGTCACTTAACAGCGGCGCACGCAGCTCGCATAGGCCAAGATTTGGTGCTTTTCAGCTCCACTTCTCCTCCCATGATAAACATGGCAGAGTCTGCCATACGGCCAATCCCTTTAGCACACCGCAGCTCGGGCTGAAGAAATCTTTAAATCAATTTCTCCCGCAGTGAATTGCTCAAAAAAGAGCGACGTCCTCAGGGGGATCAAGTTGTAGGTAGTGCTCCACAGCACTATCCCCCACTAGGTTTTTTAGCATCTTCCCCTGACATGGCTGTTTACACGTTAGCCATCCTCAGCTCTCTAATGGAGACACAGTTAAAGAAAGCAGGGAAATCTCAACTCAGGTACTTGCTGAAACACGTGACAGCTCTCTCCATGGCTTCAGCAGAGGCAGGTTAATACATCAGCTACACATGGACTTAAGAGGCTGCAGAAAAGCACCAGTACTTAAATGCATGGAAGCCTTATATGCCAAATTGATTAATGCATTTTATAGAATGCATATAGCATTAGAAAAAAAATAATAATAAAAAATCACTCTATGAATAATAACTTCATAATAATGCACCCCCCGCCCCCCCAAAAAAAAGAGGTTACATTTGAATCGTCTCATTCAGTGTATGAGCTACATCAGCACACTTTATTTATGACTCCACCAAATGGAAAGGGAGTTGGATGAATGCAATACTAAAATCAGCACACATCATCACCACATTTACACAGTTTTAACTTCCAAACCTGACAAAAAAAACCTGTCAAAAAGATGATGATTTTTATTAGTATGGTTAGTAATTTGTCGTTGAATGCAAAGTGCAATGTGAAATGGCCACTGTCTAAACTGTTTTTTTTTTTTTTTGTCTACACTGAACAAGGTGCCCTGCAACAAATGTAAAATAAATGAAATTTTAACAAATAACCTAACAGAGTCTGTCTTGGACTAATCATTCTGTAAAATTGTATGTGTATGTACTGTATATCTCAGTGAATATTGCTTTTTTCCTCCCTTGGCACAATAGACCCCCCCCTAACCACTACCCACAAAAAACAAAAACAAAAAAACATGTTTTATCCAGGAATTATGACTGAAATCAATGCCAAACATTCTTTTCAGGGGCTGACTGAAATATTATGCATTTAGAATAAATTCTATGCACTTTTCATGCCTTTGGTATTATTCCTTTACCATATTGAAAGCTATAATTTGTTTTTGTATCACTTCGTTCGCAGCATTATGCAAAAGAAAATGGGTAAAACAGGTGTTCAAATGATCTGAGTTCATTTAGTTTAAATAGTAATGGTTTCCTTTTTTGTTTGTTTTTAATAATTGTGACATTTTTGATTAGACTGAAAAGAGGAGTTATGACTGGACTCAGAATGGTGAAACATAAACACTTAATCGTCAAACAACAGGCAAAACAGAAATTAAGCACAGTTTCTTTGTAATGCATCTGAATATGTACAGTGATACAAGCATCGCACGGCTTTTAAAGATCGCTTTAATGTTTGTGCCATTTTCATGTGTTTAGAAATACGGTTCGCTCAAAATCACTTTGTCGGACTAGTGCAGTTAAACAATGACATGGTCTTAGCTGGAACAAGAAGGGAAGAGAGAGACGGGTAAATGCTGTGTTCTCGTCTGTGGCTCACTGATTCCGACAGAGCTTCTGACTGAATGTTGCATAACAGGTTCACGTTGAGGGCTTAAGGCTTCATGAGGGTGTAATCGCCATTTCCTGCTTTATCTACCTGCCTAATAGCTGAGCTGACAGCACTGCTTAACGTCGCCTTGAGCCACTCCAGCGACATGTGTCCAAAGCAAGTCAGATCAACATCCTCCTCTTAGAGGCACATCAATGGTGACAAGACACTAAGGGCAGGGGGTGGAGATTACACACCACAGGGGAGGGTCTAAAAGGTCCTGATCGATAATAGCTTTTTTTTATGTTGCAAAGGAGGCAATTTAAATAAACTATTTTCTTAAACGTTTTGACATGATGCAAGTCTTAAAATACCTTTACTAAAAATGATTGATATTGCTACCGAACCCTTGGGGAAGACCGACAAGCTATGGGAGCAATTATTTCTTGCACTCTGTTAGGTGTGAAGACTAAAAGAGAGAAGTAAGGGTTGCTGAATGAGTCACAAGCGCAGTAACCATCTGTCTGCTTGTGCGTTTGCATGAACTCGCATGTCGGGGTGTGTGTGTGTGTGTGTGTGTGCGTGTGCATCCATGTGCATGTGTGTATTTGCTGTGTGTGTGTTTTCTTGTGCTGTACCTCCACAATATCAGAGTTGGTTCTGCTCTCGTGGGGCTCGTTGTACTCAGTGTATTTAAGGAGGACCTTGTCCATGTCTGTGCTGGCATACTGGAACAGCTTGTTAGTGCTGTTGAAGATGATCAGGGCAATCTCGCAGTCGCACAGCACGCTCAGCTCGTACGCCTTCTTCATCAGGCCAAACTTTCGCTTTGTAAATGTCACCTGGGCAAAGGAAGAGATGGGGAGACAAAATTAGCACACAAGCAGAAATTGTTCTTGTTCGCAAGACGAGAATATTTACAATATGTCCTCACCAATAAAAACACTATATTTCAGTGGCAATAATAAAATAAATGAATTTATTGGATTTAGTTTAAAAAACTATATTTGCGAACAAAATACTCCCCAAAAAATTAACCACCGTCAACTCATTATTTTTCTTCTCCTTTAATAAAAAGTCATTTGACATCTTGATCTTTCCTATTTAAAGTTTTTGCTTACCGTAAAGCATCGTTAAAGTCAACTAAGGTCTTTTGAGGCTTCAAAAGTCCTGAATTTAACAGGCTATTTACTGTACCAGAAAAAAAGGAACTGAAATTACCCCGTCTCAGTCAGATTACAGTAAAGAAGAACAGTTAATGCTTGTACAACAAATATCACAAAGATTCACTGTAGAACATATTTCAAGGTAAATCTCCCCTTTCATATGATTTGAGTAATCTTCCTTTCCCCACTCTTACCTTTCAGCAAGAAAGAAAACAAACACACCTTCATCTATTTTAATTAAATTGTTCAGATATTGATTCACCCTCTGAACCACCTCTCAGAGCAAACGGCAAGCTTTTGATATAAAGAATGGATAGGTTCTCTGACGATACTCAAAGTTGTTTATGAGGACTTCTGTAGTGATAACGCAAAAATTGTCTTTGTTTTACGGCCAGTTTGCCTCTCTGCATCTCTTTGTGAAGATCCGCGAGTGCATCTGTGTTTGTGAGCCCTAAGATTAGTAGCTCTTGCTACAAAGGCTTACAAGTGCCCACATTGTCAAAATAGAACAGCCTCTATTCCTCTATTGTTTGGATCAAAACTAGAGCAGTGAAAGTGAGTTCATTCCAGTGAGCTGCACCTGGTTTCTTTTTTCTTTTCCAAGCCATTTGTGCGAGCTCTTTAGTTGTGTGTGGAAGAATGAAAAAAAGTGCCACTGCCAGCGTTCCTCTATCTGAGCAACACTGCATGCTGGTGGTGGAATTTCCTTTTTGTTTTCTTCTGCGACTGAGTATTAATTACATTGGAGATCCATCTTGACAAAGCTTTTTACACAAACAAAACACTGCCAGAACTATGCCCCGCTGGTAGCTAACCATCTTAGTTTGTTGATTAACTGCATGTTTGCCTATTCTCTCTTCTGACATTTAAGTGGCCAAAAAATACTAAATAAATGCAGAATGAACACAATAAAGAGACTATTACTGTAAGCATAAAGAGAATTTCATCAAAGCCTTTAAAGAAAAGCTCTCTGTTGTTGGCTGATCTGCGTAATGAATGGATTTTTGGAATTTATCTTTAATGCTCGGCTGTTTTTTTTTTCTTTACAACTGTAAACGGAGATATGCTTTGAAAGATATCAATAGTTTTGGATTTCCTGAAATCATATATCCCAGGATGCATCGAGAAAACCGAGTAACAAACGCTGCCTTGCCTCCRTCCTGTCTTTCTTTCTGTCTCGCTCCCTTTTAACGGAGGGTAGGGAAAATCTCACACAAACTGCCTTCACCTCTAAAAGTTTCAAAAGTGAACACATTGTGCTGAGCGGTGTCACCAAAACTATGGTTCAGACAACAGGCTGAAGCTGAAGACATGGTCCACATACTAGCCCCTGACAAACTTGTATGTGAGGTGTCAGGTCGTGTACCTGAGTATGCTCGTCTGATTCACCGACAACGTAGGAAGAAATCGCTCCCCTGGGCTCTAAATACCATGCTGACATTTACACAGTCATTGTAGGAAAAATAAGCTTCATTCTTGCAGTGAAAGATTAAAACTCATTTTATGACATTATGATTAATTTTTACATTCAACCCACTCTGAATTGCATCTCCTTCAAGAGAAACACAAGCACCCTAGAAGGGNAACCTAATGAGACCGAGGCTACAGTGCCAATCATGGATTAGCCAGTCAAAAAGACTAGAGGACTGTTGCACATAAGGTCAAAGTAGAGGATTCAGGGACAGGACATGTGGAGTGTTGTCTTCCACTGATGTTTTAATGCAAGGGGCAGACACAGGACACAGCTTGCTGCCGCCCCGGTTCTGTTACCAACCGCTCACTCAGTTGCTTTCTCTGCTGGGGCCACTAATGTTTCAAAAGGCACGTGGTACAATCTAATAGGCCTACAGCCCATGAAGTCTCTAAGGGAGTTCCATATGCTGGCTAAAAGACCACTCATCGGTGGACGTTGTAGACATCAACATAACTACACACACAGCAGTAGACCAAGTCATTAGGACGACATTTATCCTACATTTTTCATTTCATAGTAAAAAAAAAAAAAAGAAAAAAGAAAGAGCAGAATCCAATCAAAGTTGTCTAGAGCCTCACACTTCAAATGCGGAACTGCGTGCATGCTTTTCCCACGTATTATAATTCACACATAGGCTGACTTTAACAGCACCACAGGAAGAGAATGAGTGTGATTACGAAAAAGCCTTAACTGACCGAACAACAACAGCTACATACAGTAAATATCACACCACACCTCCGTATCCCAACCTGACACGTTCAACCTGCTACCTCCAACACACGTACTTTAAACGCACCTCCATAATCACACAGGCAATGATGTAGAGCGCGTTAGCTTGAACGGGAACACAACGTTTAAAAAAGACGGTTGGCTTATACGGGATTGCTACATAGATGACAAATGGCTTGTTTGGTACTCCGTGTGGGATGTGCTACTGTGTACTGCATCTCACCTATACACTTTTTATTTTCTGTTCTCAGTGTCACCAATCAAAGACACGTTGGATATTTAACGGCTTCAATAATAATCTGCATTTAATATGTTCAAGTATGGTTATCTCTTTGTTTGAAATAAATTTGATTGATTGTTCGAAATAAAATTGATTGATTGATTGATTGATTGATTGATTGATTGATTGATTGATTGATTGATTGATTGATTGATTGATTGATTGATTGACTGACTGATTGATTGATTGATTGATTGATAATTTGTGACCCTATTCATGCATTGCAATTTAGATAAATGACAACCTCTAGCTTTGCTGGTCGAACTCAAAAAAAATCTTTAACTTTCTTGTTTAAGCTTTAAGCTAGTGCTCTGGACCATTTTTACAATCATTATTGGCTATTATTGATACACAGATGTTTGTTTAAAAAATATGAACCAATTGCATTTAATTAAGTAAATAATTCATTTTTACTCTGACAAAATGCAACTAMTGAAACTGTGTAATTACTGAACTAAAATAAATGGGTTGAAATCCAAAATACATCTATATTCTCTTTACATTTTATTTTTTATTTTTTCATTTTTTTGAAATTATGACACTGTTGGATCATGCTCAGAATAAGATGAGGTATACACTAAACCAATGAAAACCTCCCATATGTTGTGGGTTAACCCTTGTACTTACTGGTAACAAATGCCAATAGACACACGGCTTTGGTAATATCAGAGAGAGACTGACTTTGTGTGTGTTTGGAAAATTGGCCAGTAGAAGTATGAGTGTGAACCCAACTGTGTTTTTTCACACTGCATTGGTAACCAAGGTGTGAAACCTATCTGCACACAAACTGAACAAAAACAAAGTAAAACTTTTGGAGCATTTCTTCATTTTTTGCCWTCTTTGATGAATAATGAATTCACTAAGATAATTAGAACTTCAAAACTTGCAGTGTAGTTAATAATAAATGGCCGCAAACTAACATTAACATTAATTCTTCCTACAAAAGTTAATCCTGTTCTGCAGAATAACTCCCCAATCTAAATCTCTCATAACCACCTATTTTGTAAAGGCACTTGCCAAATGCTAGATCTGAGCACCAATTTAGCAGAGTGAACAACAGTCACACAACAACACACAACTTATTTGTTGACCCCTATCCTCCTCCACACCCTTTTCCCAGGGGAGCTTCAGACACATGCGGTTCAACACCAATGCCCACGCAAATTCATTCAGACACACACTTCTCTGTAATCATTTAACCACACTACCTTCACCTCTGCTGTCAGTTTCTCACAAGTTTTTCGGCACGTTTGTCTCTTTTTTTTCTCTCTCATTCTCTATTTATGTCTTTAAGTGCAATTATGTATGGTACCAACAAAAAGACTAATAAGTATAACAAGATGAAGTGGAATCATGTCTTTTTTTTACATTATTGACATGTCATGTTTTCCTCTGCTCTGCACTTAAATATGGACAAACAGAGGGACACTGAGAAGGGAGGGATAGAGGGTGAGTCTGTGCCAGAAGGGTGAAAGAGAGACAGGGAGGGAAGAGAAGAGAGAAGGGGGGGGGGGTGTCGGTGGACGCACAGGAAGCACATTTGTATGCATTTCCTCTCATAACAGGAAGAGGCCAGTGGCTTCCCCTTCACAATGGCTTCGCTTCTGCTTCCCACCTCCTGCTTGCTTCCCTGGGGGAGGAGAAGGTGAAGGAAGAGGAGGAGTGGAGAGACAGGCACCAAAAAAAAAAAAAAAAAAAAAAACTGCTGCTTAATAAACCAAACATGGCTAGGCGAGGACACATACACACTCACACGCACACACGCCTGCACATAGATGTCACTCACCTATTGAGAAGCACAATTTGTCTCAAGACAAACACTTATCCTATTGTCAAAGCAAAGCAGGAAGACATGGGCTTACGCAAAAGGAATGAGCGCAGCCCGAGACCTTGGCTTGAACTCTGCATCACAGTCAAAGAGGCAGTTAGGAGAGGCATTATGACAAAAGGGGTTTTGTCCCACCTCTAATATATTCTTTGCTTTCACTCCAATAAGCCCCCCACTTATCATGTTTTTTTGARTGAACTATTGATGCATAAGAACAAGGAGGCAGCAAACCCAGAMCAGCTCTTGATCAGTGTCTGGGTTCAGAAACACAGTCCTGCTTAGCTAAACTTGTCAGACAGAACAAGAGTTTTCAAATTTGCCAGTTACAGGCCTTAAAATTCATGTCAATTTAAATTTTTCTAACAAGAGCTAGTAATTACATTTCAGTACAGCTCTGAAATGGCAAAGCCTCTCTGTATGTTCCTGTTTACACAGAGAAAACCGCAACTGGAAAAAAAAAAGACTAAAAAAGTGGATGTTATATTTCAAGGCCCAAGTTAGTGGTTAGATTGACAGAAATAACTTTGTCATTCATTTGAGGAGGATAAACCTTTTCTGTAGTACCAAAACTGTGGTTGTCCATTAGTTTATACTTTATTTCATTTTATGTCTTTTTTTAATACAAGCAACCAATTTCTTAGTTGCTAAAATAAAACTACTCATTTTGTAACATTTGAGGAAAAGAAAACAACTATCACCTGTGTTATTTGGAGTAATTTTAATCAGGTCTATAAACAAGTTTTATTTCTTAAAATAAATATTTTAAGCCTACATTTGGGTAAAAAAGTAAATTAAATAATGTTTTAAACAGACCCTAAATTAAAATGCCATGGACTAAACTTTTGTTTTGAAGACGAAATATTTGATTTAATAAAAGCAACTCAAAAAAAAAGCAAATAGGAACTAATGGGAAAACAATTAAAACTTTAGAGTGAGAAGAAAAAAAGGAATGCAGTGATTAAGTGCAGTGGACTCATACGAACATGAAGCAAAACAGAAAAAGAAATTACAGAAGAAGTTATTAAAAAGCACAAAGTGCGAGAGCTTAGCAAGCCCCTCTCAGGTGGGATCCTGGAGTGCTGAACATATGACAGAAAAGAGCGCCACTGTGGAAGGAGAAGGAGATGGTGGAAGGTGGGAAACAGGGAATTAGAGGAGGGGTTCAGGGGTGACGAGCTACCCTGTGGGCCTCATTATTTTCCTGCTGTTAATTTTTCTCACACATTTTCTCACCCCAGTGCTGTTGATTGGAGGAAGAATGCCGCTGAAACAAAAAGAGCCTTTATTTCAGCATGAGCGCTGCATTTAATGCGGTGAGGGGAGAGGAAAAGATAGCGCCGGGAGGACATAAAAACATACTTTTTTTTCATTTAATCTTAAACACCGACCCCCCCCCCCAAAAAAAAAAAATGTTTGGATGCCTTGTTGTTTGTGGGAGCTGGGAGATCCTGTTGTTTTACTTCCTGTCACCGATGACCCGATCCATGTTTAACCTTTGACTCTGGGTCCCTTCCCACTAGAGCCCACAGTGACACACAGTGACACACACAACACAAAAATTCACACAAACAAGTCATCCTGAATTAAGCCCACTTAGTGTTCTGGCTAGAGAGGTAACACTAATTAGAGCCAATTGCAGTCATGTAGTCGATCCCTGAGATGGACTCTACAGAGAAAGGTGTGTTTTAGATGTCTGAGTGTGAATACAAGCATTTGTTCGTAAACCCGACATAAACAAAGACATTAAATGTACCATCTAAAATATGTGACCGTATAATCTATGTCTGAAGTCGTCACACACACCTGTGTTTTATACTGCAGGAGTGTGWGTGCCTGCCTCTCTGCCTTGCATGTGTGAAAGCGGGATCAAGAGAGTCTGCTCTCTGTGTACAGCCCATGAGTTTATGACACAGGGGGCTCTTTCATGTGCCCAGGGCAGGGAGAGGGTATGAGTGGTCGGGCGGCTTGGAGCCAGGGTTCACACACTGCTGCCCACTGTCCAGAGCTCCGGGCAGCCAGTCAACGCCAGGGAGGCCTAGCCCTTCTGCCACTGCTCTGGGGAAGTGTTTCGGGGCCTGGGGGTGGCGGTCCAAAGTGGCCGCCCAGAGAGAGCCAGGCCCTGTGCCCAGTGTGATGTCGCCGCTGCAAAGAAGYGCAGGGGAGGGGAGGCAGCATTGCACTGTAGGTGGCAAGGTAGCGTTGACAGCTACACAGAGTGGTGCCACTCCAAAGAGGCTTGCATTGTGGAGGAAAAAAAAACTCTATATTTTTGAATAAATGTACCTTATATTTATATTAGCTTTTGAAGTTGGTTAAATAGATTACCTCTCATGACTTTTGATTCATAATCTACATTTTTATTAAATAAAAAAATAWTAAAAATTAAAAACACACAGAAGCACTTTGGGTGTTTTATTTTTTTAAACATACAAACAAGTTAAAGTATGTTGAGAATGTGGAGTAGAAAGCAACACTATACAAAGTCTCTGGTGTTTATTTAGTTTGGGCTCTGGAACGTTTCCTCAAGAAGGAAGTGAAAACATGCAAAGGCAAAGCTTCCGTGTTTTTTTTTTTAATTTTTTTAAAACTTTTTTTAAGAAGAAAATTTAAGTTTCTGTCTCCAGTCTTGTGATATCCGCCTCCTCAAAACAAAATGATGTCACTTCTTCATAAGCTGAAGGYTGCATGACAGCAAATTCAAGCATGTGGTGCTTTCCACATGACTTAATGATATCATGTCATGGAGATTTTTTGTTGTTTTTTTTTTTTTCAACCAAGCAGCTATATGATTAATCTATTATTTTAAAGATCAAAACAACAAAATCCAGTGATGTATTGATTTTTCTTTCTGTGAATCTTTTCTCTGGTGTGCTCAGTTTCCTCTCCTTCCTCCTCTTACCCTGTAAGTAAAGCCCAGATATCTCAAGCATCGATTCCCCTCAGGTGTTCTTCCTGTCTCCCTCTTTCCCTCCTTATCCTCTGGAGTCAGAGAGCTGGGCACAGCTTGCAGGCCCAGTCTAAGGTGGAATGAGGGCGAGGCCTTGAAATAACAGTGAGGAAAGTGGCTGCTGCTGCTGGTGCAACATGATAGTTTTATTCTTCATGTAACATTCCTGTGACCTCCTCTYGCTCTTGCTCTGTCTCTTTCTGTTTCTTTCTAAACAAAATATTTTGGAAAATGATCAAATACTTTCACATCCTGTATGAATWTTATTTATTTATTTTCTTTACACATAAACTTCTTTGGTTTTGTTTACTCTCTTGCCCTGAATACACCCGGTTTTCGAGGAGAGCTCACAGTCAAACTGCAATGATGTGACTTTTGTTAAAACTAAGAAGCATTAAATTTCTCACATTCACGTTTTTATTACTACTTCAGTAAAGTCCAATTAAATGAGTTTTTTAAATGCCACTTAACTACGGCTTCAAATGACTTCATTTGATGACCCCTGTCAACGATAAACACGTCTCAAAAGCCATGAAATAGGTCTGTGTACGTGTTTGACCTGTGATCCAGGGGCCACCTTAGCAGCGTATGGATCCAATTGGGCTGCCAGGAAGCTGACAAAGTGTCAGTGGTCAGCCATGCCACAGGAAGTGATCGATTGTAGGCCTCAAGGGTACTGGGAGAGCTCTGTCTCTGTCTATTTCCTGCCACAGACGGTAGGGTCTACTCGAATCCACTGTTTATTATGTGTCTCTCAAGTAATGCCAGCTGTTGTTAAAAACAGTTCTTACAAGGAATCTTTTGTTAGAGCTGTAAGTTTGTTCATGTTTACCCCACAATATTAATTTGAAACGCTGTCGCTTTTAGGCCACTATGAGTAAAGCAGTTCTAGTTCCTGATTTAGTTCCAAATTAAAAAATAAATATTACAGCACCAGCATTTACTACACTTGTTTGTGTCAGTTTTGACCATCTCATTTCTGTTTTCTTGTTTGTTTAGATTTCTCTCCACCCTGCCTTTCTGGTGCTACCACCCTCTTCTTGGTAATCTTCCACAGGCACAGAGGGATGGGTGGCGTATAGTGTGAGGGCCTCGGGTGTGTGAAGGGTGCTTCAGCTCTGTGTAGGCTGCATCCATCTGACAACACTGTAATGCTAAAAAAATGTTAAAGCCCAAATGTCTTCAGACCACTTTTTTGTGTGTGAAATATGTTCTTGTTGCGCTCACGCTGGTTTGTTAGTCTGAACACAAACAAACCTACTATTCCGACCCTTTCAGTAAAGCCAATATCTGTGCTTTCCTTCATGCTCCTTCCTGTTTCCCGGTTCACATATTGCCCAGACTCCCTGAAGACCTTCATTGTTGAGGGCTATGCTGGGGTTTAGGGTGTTTCTCCTTCCTTCCTCCCTCCTCCAGCCTTTCTCTCCCCCTCATTCTCATACTCATCCATCCTCCCACCACCCCCAGGGACTTACCTGTCTGTTGCGTTCATCCATAATCCGCGTGATCTGAATCTTTTTCCTCCCCATCGTCCCCGTCTCTTTTTTTTCTCTCCTCTTTCTTCAAGAATTCAAACCTTTCTTCTCTTGCTTCTTTCTTCTTCTATCTCTTCTTTCTTTTCCCTCTTCTGCTCTTCCTTTATCTCTTTCTCTCTCTCTTGCTTTCTATTTGTTTCAATCAGCTCAAAGATTCCAGCATCTGTACCTGCAAGACAGAGGGGAGGGGTGGGAGAAAATAAGCATTAAATGAAATGAAATATGGCAAAATAGTGAGTAGAGAAAAAATATATATATATTAAAGTGGCATCATGGCAGCCACAAGGGAGGGTGAAGAAAGACAAAGAATCTGTCAACAACATTGCGAGAACCGCTGTGTTTTTCACTGTCGATATCATGCAAATCAGTTCTTGCATTTTTCCTTTTGCAAGCACCTTCTATGAGAGGAGACAGCGCTGTCAGGATCCTGCCTCGTTCTTTGACAGTGTTTTGGATGTGCCGCTACCTTAAACGCTCTAATCACCAACACTGTAACATTACCTTACGCACAGAGAAATACATTTTGTTTCTTCCCCTGAAACAGCACTGTATTGACAGTGGAACTGCTAACCACCAACGCCACCCCCCCCACCCCCCTCCACTTTGTTAGCTGCCCATAACCAAAAAGGCAGATGTGAGCTGTGGAATAAAATACAGATGTAGAACTGAACTAAGTTTTATCGTGTTCTGGCAATTTTAAACCAAAAGAAAAAAAAAAGAGATTAAAAGAAAAAAAAAGTTTTAGGAATGAGCTTTAAAAAAATACTTGATCCAGCAGGAAAGAGTGCACCACTTGAGTAATAGTGAACAACTGTGCTTGTTGAGGGTGTATGAACCTGTGTTTCGCAGGTGGAGCCCAGCAGCTGATGTAGCTGGACTGCTTGTGTGAGGAAGAGAGCTGCGTTCAAGAAAGTTGGAGTGACCGTCCATGTGCATACATGCATACGTGTGTGTGTGTGTGTGTGTGTGTGTGTGTGTGTGTGT